TATGGCTGCAGCTGTGGGACAGCAACATGCTGCTGGATTTGCAGTGGGTGTCAGACAACACTGTGCCAGATGGAAATGTTTGTATGATAAAAGCAGGACTGTCACTGCTAACAGTATGAAGGTGTGTTAATGTACTTCTTTGTTCCTGATGATTTGGCTAGACCAAGAAATTGTGTTAGTTATTTTCAGTGCTGACTTGTAACCTGTGAACCAGCACAACCAGTCCCTCTCTTCTGCCAGTGTTTCAAGCAGATATTCTTCATTCCATTTTAGTCACTGAAGTCTAAATGCTCTTGCTTTTCTTTCTATATAGTAATTGGATTCTCAGTCATGTTAGCAATATTTGAAATGCTTATGTTGTCACCGAAGCAAAACCTAACGATTATTTTTACCATGGCAGAAAATAGAAGTTCTAAACAAAGTAAGCCCTCAAGGAATATCGCCACTGGTAATATTTTTCCATGCCAGTTGTTTGCTGTGAGATATAACACCCATGTGTTAACTAAGGAATTTCATCAGAGAAAGATAAGCTAGTATAATTTGATTTACATTTGGAATGATCAAGGTTGCATTTTCATTCTTCTTGTCTTGCAGTCACTGGTTATTCCTGGTTGCTCTTTCCCCTTAACGTAAGATAATAAAGAGCACGAAGTCACGTTAACTGAACACAGGCACTATGTGTGGTGTCCAGACTTAGGCTACTATCCAAGGAAATGTTTTATTCATGGAGAATCCCTGATCCTGAGCTTGCAGTTCTGATATGTAACTCACTTTTTTTCAGTGTTCTGTGATGGAAATTTTCGAAGTAGATTCATTTCATTCTAGCAGTGGATGTGGTGATTTTCAGTGCTTTGTCTTCTTTCCCGTGAGGTATTCAGTCTTTCTCCTCATATGCAGCACTATTCTTACAGGAAAAAAGTGATGCAAAAAGCTAATATAATATTTGGATTTCTTCCTGGTTTCTACCCCTTATTGACACCAATTCTCAGTTTCTTGCTCTTTCCTATTGAGAAACTTCTTGTTTGTATTTAATTTTCTCTGTGAGTTCCCATTTTCCTGGCCTCCTGGCAGTTTTAATTTCATTTCTACAGTCTGACCTGGAAGTGACAGCTCCTTGCTGATAAGTCCCTTTTTCCATTCCTTGTAGGTTCTCTGCTTTCTCTTAGCATCCTGCTTTGAGGTGCATACTCATGCAGGTAGGTCTGTAGCCCTTTCCTGTCCTCTTTTTATCTTTACTTGGATTGAAAGCTCAGAAAGCATTTGATTTCAAGTAAATCTGTGCCTTCTGTTCACTCAGACTCAATTGTGTTTGTGTTTCGTTTGTCTCTGAATGAAATTTTGTGGTATGGCCCATCAGACAAGAGGTGGGATTGCTCTTCAGATTTCAAGACAGAAGGCTGAGGAGGTTTGAATTGCCTTTGGCAGCACTTGTGCTGCATAGGCTGTTACAGATGGGCTCTTCTTTGGATTAAACCATGGGAAATGGTTTTAAAAACTGGCATTTAGACCACCTGAGCCAGTTTGTTTTTTTTCCCCTTTTGTTGGATATGTTAATGCAAATGCTTTTTGATAGAAGTTCAGTGATTTTTGGAAATTTTCTGAAAATCTTTGAAAGATTTGCTTCTTTTTTGGAGAAAGTATTCTGATATCTCTTTTCTCTCCCAATGTTGAGAGACAAACTTATTAGGTAGCTTTTCTTTTGAAAATGCATGTGTTAGAGGCCAGTATACTTGTCCCTTTCTCCAAATGGCTGGGAAAGCTATTGCAATGACTGCAAAGCCTGCTTTTTGGAGCTGCAGTTATCACTTCTGAGTCTCCACATTATAAGGATGAAAAGGCTCAATTAATTACTGGAGTGCTGGCAGTTTTAGGATAGTCTGAAATATTCATATGTACATCGGTGTCATTGAAATCACGTTCAGAAGGCTGTAGGCAGGACTTTGGCTATAAGCCTATGTATAAGTTCCTGTGAGGTAAGGCAGTATGTGAATTTACAGGCTGTCAGCTACTTGGTGCACAGCACCCCGTCAGCATGTTTGTACCATATGGCTGAGCCACAGAATTGCCCAACAGTATGTGAAGGCATTAATCTGTGCAGATGGACACAGCTGAAGTCTTGGGTCCAAGAATCAGCGCTGGAACTTGGGGCTGGGCCTTGGTGTGCCTTCACCAGTCTGAGGAGTCCTCAGTTAAGAGTTCAGAAGAGCTGCCGGGGATTTCTTTGAGCTCCTGATGTCAGAACAGGGCTCAGAGTGCTGCCTTGTTGATTTTAATAGCCTTAAACTTCATACTAGAGCTAATATAAATTCAAATTTACACATTTGAGTTCCGTTTAAATGTAACAGAACTCCTGAATGTGGCATAATGGTGATGTGTATTTGTCCATTTCTTAACCAGTAGAAATCTCACAGTTAAGTCCCTTCCCTGTTGGCTCTTTTTATTTAGGAATAGCTGTTTTCTGAATCTGCCTAAAATTTCCAAAGCCTCCTCATCATAAATGTTGTAGTGCTTGATAAGGTGATGGCAAGAGAGGTTTGTAGGCCTTTCAGTGTTCTTGTCAGATAAAATACCTTTCAGTGTTTGTGGTGTGATTTTTTTTTCTAAAGTGTGGGTAATAGTAACTGAAAGCTTGAAAAACTTACTAGTGGACTGTTTATATTTTGTGTTATTATTCTTCATTGTTTTCCTTTGCTTTGGATTGAAACCAGCTTATTGCCATTAGTAAATGTCTGAGCGTGTTCTTCAACATGAGCGTTCAGCACTATGGTGGGGAGTCTGGGAATTTCATCTGATGGTCCTTTAAATAGTTTGGCTCACTTCTTAACTTCATGAGTTGGTGAGTGTTTCTGTAACATATGGCACTATAGGTTGAAAGTGGATGTTTACATCTGGTATGCATTGGAAGATTAAGGTAGAGAGGATGAAGTTTTGGACAAGTATGTGTTTTTTGGATGAAGGATAAAGTGAGAATACTTTTATTTCCTCTTAGATTTGAAACATATCATTCCAGCAATGCCTTTGAAATTCTGCCAGTTTTGCCATCCGTAACATTTATGGGATTTTGGACCGAAACTGAATTAGAAAACTGTTTTTAGTGGTGGAGAAAAAGGTTAGTGTATGAAAATAGCTGGGCCTATTATTGACTGCATGTGGTCAGTGGTTTGGCTGAATGTAGGTGGCTCTCTTCCTGTCACTATTTTAAAGCATGTCTTTTTTTTTTTTTTTTTTTTTTTTTGAGATGAATATAAAACTCTTTAAAAATTAGACTGCCCTACTGTAGTTCTCTAGTGTAGCAGTCTTTTGCTATTTAGATGTCACTGTGCTTTTGCTATTCAGTCTTACAGAAAAACAAACACAAAAACTTTAAGAAAGCTTACAGTTTCTGCTAAAATTGAAAGTGAGAGAGGTCTGAAAAATGGCAGCTGTGCAAGCTGCAGTTTGTCAGTTTTCTTATGAGAGGATTCGTGTACTTTGTTGTTGATTCTTTATTGTAGTTAATGCTAGGTTTTTTTGCAGCAGACAGCAGCTTTGTAAGTGCACGCACAAACATTGATTACTGTTTTTCTGAGAATTGCTAATAATTGCATTATATTTACCTTTTTTTTTTTTTTTTTTTTTTTCTTTATCATGTTTCTAGTCTTAAAAGTAAAATTTTAGCAGTTTTTCCCAAGGTCAACTTAAGACTTGCTGTTTCTCCCATTGCATAGCAGACAGCTTGAAATTAACCCAGTGTTGTGTTTATTGCTTAGTATGTAGCACACAAGATGCTCAGGGAATAGTGGATTTTCTAGCTCCTGCTGCAGAGGGAGCTGAAGGGCACAGCAGATTCTCCTGAGCTTTAACAGTATCGTCCTATTTATTTTCTCTGAAAACAAACAAACAAAAAAAACAAGAAAGAAAAAAAAAACCCAAAAACCAATAAATAACCAGTGGTAGGTCTGTAAATCATGCAGGTTGTTTTGACTGTGGGTTGTGTAGGTTGCTTGCTGTTTCCAGTCTAGAAAATTCTGGTGAACCTTGTTTAGAAGTTACCAGATGTGAGAACTGATTTCATTCAGCTGAAGGTAAAGAAAATCTGGTTCTGCTGTGAATTATCATGAGAACTGTGAGAGCTCAGTGAGTTAGTTCCATTGCTGTGTCTACAAAGAAAGCAAAAGTTTCCCCATGTTTGGGGACAAACAGTGGATAGAATTACCTAATTTATAGAGTAACTGTAAAGGAGTCAGTACCTGATCAAGTAGCACACCAATAGAGCTGCTTAACGTGTTGCTCAGTCTGTCCTTAAAGGAGGGCACCCTGGTACCAAAGGCCAGAGGCAAGGAAATGATGGTGGTGCATGAGTGAGGCTACTTGGTTGGTTGCGTCTCGCTGTCTTGGAAAATCTTCATTTGTTATCTGCAGTAGAAGGCCCACAGCGTTATATAAAATGCAAAGTAGACTACTTCTCCTAAAGATATTAACCAGATTGTTAAAATGCTGAGGGGAAAACTTCTAGAAACTGTAGTTACTGCAATTATCACTTGTAGTGTACTGTAATATCTTCTTGCAACATGACAACTTAAGTAAGGTTGATACCGAAGTTGCATCCTCAGATGTTAAAATTATGTAATATTAATTGGAGCATGAATCTGGGGTCGTGCAAAAATCCTTTGGAAACTACAAGTTATGTAACAGAATTTATATTTTTTATTTTTTGGCTTTGTTCTTGTTTACCCAGGTACTGCTTGGTGTTGTTAATAGTAATCAACGGTTTAGGAATGCACTGTATTGAGAGAGCTCATTTGAGCATGCTGTTGCTTATCAGAAAGATCTTGAAGGACTGTGATGATAGGGGTAATTAGTACTGTTTCTGAATGCGGGTTCTTAGAACTGTATTTTCTGGGGAAAAAGAGGACAGCAAACAGCTGACCTTTGTTTTTGATTTAAGTGAGCATTTTTCTGGTCTCGCTTATGAAAACAACTACATTAACATATCTCAACACTTCCTCTTTGGATTGTAGAGGTTGGAGATCTGAGGGAGCTGCAAACACTGGATATTTCAACCAATCGCTTGATAACCTTACCTGAAAGGCTGCATATGTGCCTCTCACTGCAGTACTTGACTGCAGACCGGAACCACCTGTGGTATGTTCCCCGCCATCTGTGCCAGCTTCCAAGCCTCAATGAGCTCTCCATGGCTGGGAACCGCCTTGCATTTCTGCCTCTTGGTGAGTCACTGCTTTCACTGGGCTGGGGTGGGTTAGAGAATAGATGGGGAAACAAATCTGCTTCCTCCTCCTCCTCCTCCTCCTCCTCAAAATAAAAAATAATAATAATAAAAAAAAAGCTTGTGATTTTTCATCCATTCTGATCCCTTCAAACTCTGTGTACAGAGTATTACAGTGATCAAATTGTTGGAAAATATATTAATAAATGAAAAAAATACAGGTTGAGGTTTCGTATTTGCTTTTGAGCCGTAGGTCATCTATCAAATCTGCTTTATTTTTAGCCATTTTCCCAGATGGGGGAAAAAGTTTAAATGATGTCTTGTTTAAATATAGTACTGAGTAATCTAAGTTCCACCACTTTAGGTAATGACATGCTTCTGTTTGCTGGATCTGGTGTTTAAGTAAGATTCTTCAGCTAGAGTTGGAAACGTGCTGAGGAATCCCAGTAAATCCATATAAGTGACTTTTTTCATTGGTAGGAATGTCAGTACTGAATAGTCTAGCTGAGATTTAGTTTATGTGGTGTATAGGCATCCATCAAAACTTTCACAGCAGACGCACAAGAAGAACTTCATCTGCTTTCTCTTCAACCCTTTCTAAGTTTGGAAGTGTAGAGGCAGGCCTTCATGAGCAGGAGGTGTGGTGACCGAGTGGTTTTGTGTTATGGGAAGTCACTGTGACTGCAGGAAGGGTGGACTGCATATTTTGTCCATGAAAAGCGAGACATCTTCCATGTGTCGGTAGGCTAATCTCTGCTGAAATACAGCTGTGCATGCAGATTTACTGTGCCAGCTCAATAGCCAGTAGTAGTTTTTTTTTTTTCTAGAATACTCTTAGAGGTTGGTTAATTGGATGCAGATGAAGTGACCATAATAACATTGAAAAGAAGATGAAAATGAAGGTGACTAAAAATGGGATGCTTTTATTTCTAAATTAATGAAACTGTGTGGGTTTAACTTAATTTTTTCAATACTAGCAATTCAGTCTTTAAAGCAGCTGATAGTCTGATTATTTTTTTTAACACCTTAGTTCATATTACTGACAAGTGCAAATAATGTCTCCAGACATGGTGTTTCAGTTATGTCCCAACATATGTCATTATATAAATGAGAAAATGAGTTCCAGGATGCATCATCCAGACTTCACAGTACCATCTGAAACAAGCAAAGTAGCGAGCCTCAGTTTGGCAAATATTCCTAGCTCCATTTCATGAGAGAGCAGTGGAATATTTTTAATTTTTCAAAAATAAGATGATGCTCAGTAAGAGAAGATGTGAAATATTTAAGGGTGGAAGTTTTCTCTGCCTCTGCTCTGGTAGCTTATCTGGGAGTGAGCTGTGACCTGCATGAGCCACAGATCTACTCACGTGTTTTAAGTTCAAAAGGAGGAAATAAATCTGTAATATAATGATACACCTTTTTTTTTTTTTTCTTTATTTTTAGACTCAAATTCAAAACATTCTGAGGGAACTTTTAAAATAATGGGAAACATCAAAGACTGTCAATTGACCTTGTTCAGTAGTTCTTAATAGTGACTCACTGGTGAACATTTGGAGATAATTTGCTATCTGTGAATACGAAACTGAATCATAAATCTTAGAGTTCAGAGGAAAAGCAGCCCAGCATAAACGTAAATGCTTAATCCTTGGTGAAGAATCAGAAGGCTTCAGAGTGGTCGAGATGTGATGGCATCAAATAGAGTGCATTGAAAAGCAAAATTAAATCTATTTTCTGCTGTATGGGAAAGTGTTTTCCTTGGTGTGCTGGACTACATGGAATGTTAGAGTATTACTGAAGTTAAGCTACAATTGGAGCGTATTTCTGTGAGCTGCACATGCTGGCTAATTTTTGTGTATTAATATCTAACTTCTCCATTAGTGGTGCCCATGGCCAGGGAGGATTAACAGTGAAAGATACTGCAGAAAAAAGAGAAGAGATATTTGAGCAGTAATCATCTTACAGTTGTTTTTCTGTGAGGGAGTTGAGTAGGAAGGCAGCCATCTTACACACCTCCAAAGAATGTTGTTGTTTTTTTTGCTTTTTTAAGAGGCACGTCTGTGGTAGAAGAAATGTTCATGCTTGGAACGTGTGGCTTAAAACTTTTTTGAGTGATTTACTTTATTTCATATGGTGGCTGACATGAAATGTGGCAAGGTACCCATTCTTCCCCAGCTAAATGTGTCCCTTGTTGCTGCCTGTATGGCTCCTGCTAGGCGTAGTGCAAGCTGGCATTTTCCTGTTCCTAGACTGATAGTGTCAGATGGATTCTGGCAGTAGCGCTGTGACTGCACTGCTGCATAGATACTGTGCAGAATTTTGGCCTGTGCATTCTTTGAGGTGGTAACAGTCACACATGAGCTTGAGGGCACGTGCATCTTAAGAAAAAAATTCTGATATTTTTCAGTTTTGCTGAATTCAGTAATAGCTTACACGACTCTGACTGTTCTAACTGGTAGGGAAACAAGCAGGTAGGTAAGTAATGCTGAGTTAGTCATTTGTTGTGCAGGATACATCTAATGTTTGGATATGCTGGTTTTATTTTTCCACATTGTGTTGGTTTGTGTTCCAAGAAACAAGTGTGTGGATCTGAATGTTTGGGCCTTCCTAATGAATTTCTACAAATGCCCAAATCAGAGGTGTGTAAGCTGAGCTGGAAACTGCATTCTGGCCAGCTCTATGTAATTGCTTTTTATTTTCTTGTCACTGGCTTTTGTGCTGCCCGATAAGTGATCTTAGGAATTCTGTTCTTGAATGGCAGATAGCGCCTCCGATCCCTTTACATCAATCTCGTAATCAAAATTACTCTTTGATAGAAAGCTAACTCGAAAATTTTACCGCTAACAAATGCTGCAATGCCTGAAAACCAATTCTGCTGGAAGCAGAAATTTGAATCTGATGACACTGCAAAAGTAAAATTGATTTATGCAATAGAGTACAAATATAATTAAAATAGGCCATAAATTCTGAAATATACTGGCAGTTCAGGGGATGTTATGACAGCAAATACTCAGTGTTATATCACTTTATTAGGGTTTTATGTGCACATTTTGTTTAGAAAATGGGTCTAGTAATTATCAGTGCACAGTAAACAAAGGTCTTATTCTACCTCAGTATATACTGCTTTTGTGTCCTTGCCCTCGCAGTATGGTTAAAAGAGCATCAGTGCAGACACACAAGAGCTTTTGTTCCATCTTCAGCCATGTGGAATGCATATGCCAGGGCCCTGAGGTTAAGACAAGAAAAAAAAAATAAAGGAAAAAAAATAGAATTGGGGTTTGTTCAGGACTCATGGCACTGGGTCATTTCTGGGAGAGATGTCTTTGATCTGGGAGCCTGGAAGGAGGAAAGTGGAAGTGTTTTAGACAGTACAGTGCTTGCAAAAGCCACATAAAAACCTTCTTTGTAGCCTTAGCCTTTTCATAGATGGACAGCTTCCTTATTTTACCAAGTTCTTGCAGACTGTTTTCTAGAGGATTTTTAACAATATTGGTTGACTGATAAAAGACATAAAGATTAGTGGAGATGAGATGGGATACAAAGAGCTTTTTAAAGTGATGTTTTATTTAAATTTAAGCTTTGTGGATAGTGTTTGAGACTTGAAAAAACATCTTTTGGGGACTGGAAAATGCTTGGTTATTTAATGCGAAGAAACTATATCAAAGGAACACTTATAGTTAAAGGCTATTTGGCTTTGGGAATAGAATTTTTCCTACTGAGATATTCTGTCTAACGTCCAAAAATTTGCTTTAATTACCTAGGAAATGCAGTCAGCTTAGAACTTAGAATCTAAACATAGCATAAGATAAAGACGAAGGAAAGAGATGAGATGCAGCCTAAGTCCCCACCCCTAAATGCGTATGAAAAGAACAGCTTTAGGGCTTTTTTTGACTTGCTTGATTTCCAGCCCATTTGCATACATCTGTGTGGAAATGAGCAAGATGAGCCCTCTTTTAAAATTTTCTTCCATTCTCTAAATTAATGAGTTAAACAGTATCACGTTCAAGCTGCCCCAGCAACCTGTAGTTTTCTGCTCTTCTTCACCAGATTGGTCTCTGCAGCATGAGGCTCCCTCAGCTTTCAGTGGCCCGTGCTATTTGTGTTCAGTTTGACTGAGTAATTCTCTTCCACCGTGACAGTACTTTGTGGTGTTAGTGCTTTGGTACTGCAGTATTTTCCTTCATTGTAGGATAGTGATGTTTTTGTTTCATCTAAAAATACCCCAGAACTTTGTTAAACTATTTTCAGCCCTGCCGTACTGAGGCAAAATACCCATCTTTTTTGAGGTGTTAACGCTTAACGGTGCGCAGCAGCATCGCACAGCGGTGCTAATCAGTCAGCAGAGGTATTTGTACTTCTTTCTTAGGGCAGGACAGTTGACAGGTGCAGGAGATAGTTCTTGGAACTAGAGTATCTTTGGGATGGGGTCAAAGAAGCACATGATGGGTAAAAATGTTCCCTGATGTCCAGTTATTCTGATTTGAGCAAAGCCCCAGTTATGGTTCCTGAAACCTGTTGCAAAACCTCTGTAGAGTGCATTGTAAGAGCCTATATTAAAAGAAACAGAAGTCTATGTTAATGTTCTCAGAAACAGAACATACTAGTTTTCTGTGGGTATCAGTTCTTCTTCCTTAGACTGAAGATTTGATGATGTGGCACTCTTTGAAGCTCCTCAGCTCAAGCCTTTAAGGTTTCTGATACTTACAGCTGCTAGTCAAGTGGGTGACAGCTGAAGACATTTGGTGTATTTTAAGATGGCCAAATGTTTGGGGAAATTGTTTCAGATGTCATTTGCTTTATGTCTGTAAGGTGGTACCCAAAGCTCTAAGTGAAAGTGAAACTGTTCTGTGATAAAAATGGGCTTGTATTACTTAGTACGGTAAGGAACGACGATGAAAGATCACTATTGCAAACAGAATAGCTGAATAGAGATATCGTGTATGAAAATGGCTTAAATTTTTCTTCTGATCTTGGCTGCTGTTTCAAAAGGGGCGGAAGCTATATTCATTTTTATTTCTTGCTAATCAAGTTAATTGCCAGTTGGCAAAGATGGGAAGTCGAACTAGTCGATGCTACTAGAGCTTTCAATGTAGCTGATTCAGCTACAAGGCTTGTTTATCTTGCTTAGTTTCTATAACGTGCTCATGAAAGTTTAAGAAGTCAAGAAATACACGCATGGCTTTTCGTAACGCAGTTTGTTTGGGTTGCAGTTATCTCCTCCACAGCACAAATGCTTTCAGATGTTTGACAGCTTCTTGCTTGGTCTGTGTTAAATGCATGTCTCTTCCTAACCTGGTGTGCTGAATGGCATAGGAGCTACAGATGAAATGGACTGCCAAGATGATCCTACGTGTCAGCTTTAACAGTTCAAAACTCTCTTCATAAAAAAAAAAAAAAGCTATTCCTCTTACTTTGGTTTTTCACTTCTTTTGATAGCAGACTGAATGGACCTTGCTGATAAGAAAAACTATTCCTTCTGAGAATTATTCCTAGAAACCTAAATTTTCTCCTTTTGCTGTTTTTTCCACTTTGGCTTGCTAAACAAGAGTAAAATCATTCCATACCTCTATGGTTATATCTGGGAATATTAACATACTTATAGTTCATGAAAGTACTGCTTAAATATGGCCTGCTTGCTTCTTTTGACTGCCAGCCATGAATATTTTAACAGAAATAATAAGCAGCTCATATTCAGATGTATTGATTGTTTATTTAAAACCACAACTTCTGCTTTATAATATTCTGCAATTTAATGCTGGTGTATTTCCCTGTGTTCTGTAATTTGACACATCTCATGGACTTCCGAGTGATCACTGTTACGTACCTAGTTATGGCTGATGTAGTTAAACAAGTTTCTCAGAGAGAAGAAAGAGTGGGACATGCCACGTTTATGTTTTTTTCTTCACCACTTCGCAGATAATAAGGCTGTGGTTTCGATGGTGCAATGTTAATGAAAGGAGATTTGACTTTATGCAATATAGAATCACAGAACAGCTTAGGCTGGAGGGGGGGATGTTAGAGATGATCCAGTTCCAACCCCTGCTATGGGCAGGATTGCCAACCTCTTCTAGATCAGCCTGCCCATCCAGCCTGGCTTCGAGCCCCTCCAGAGGGGCATCTGCGACCTCTCTGTGCAACCTGTTCCAGTGCCTCACCACCCTCTGAGCTGAAACAACAACAAGAAAGCAAAAGTATACGCTGTAGGATTCCAAATGGATTGTCACTTTTCTTCTTCTACCTCACTTGGAGTTTGTCAGAAAAAAGTTTTAAATGGGATTTTCTGATCTGTGGAAATGAGCTTTATTATGGATCATTTGAAAAAAATTAGTTGGAAATAGCATTTAAAATTATTAAAATAACTTGCTCAAATATTTATAATTGGGAAGTACTAATTTGTTTGCTGCCATTGAATTTGATTTCTTATTTATAATTAAAAGGAATCATTTAGCTCAGAATTGTCAGTCGTCCCTTCTCCCCCTTACTTTTTCTCTTGTTTTCTAAACCCAGATTTAGGTCGTTCGCGGGAGCTACAATATGTTTATGTGGATAACAACATTCATCTCAAAGGCCTTCCATCTTTTCTGTATAATAAAGTCATTGGTTGCAGCGGGTAGGTGTGAATTAAATCAATGTTTTGCAAATGTGTTCCGTTGAAAATTTCTCATAAATATGTGCCTATGTGATACAACTGGGTTTTTTTGTGATAGATTCAGAATTAATGTCAGTTTAAGGAGGATTACTGCAGCTGCCAGCTCTTCTACTTTTGCAACAAACGTTCTATTAATTGCTGACTTTCAGTATTTTCATGTTAAGCCATAAGTCATTGCAGTTATTCCAAAGGAGTTTATAATGATAATGTAAGTCCCGAAGCTGAATGCTAACAGCATTTAAAGATGGCCAGAACTGTAAGCTTTGCAAAATCTGCATAACTGAAGAATGCACAAACTGTTTCTTCATGTGTTGCACCATACATCCAGTTCATAAGTTTTCCCATTTCTCTAAATTTTGGGCTGTATCTCAGAATGCCACATGCAGCTTTGCTCATTTTTGTGTCCCAGTATCAGCTTCTCCTAAGTCCTGCTACATACTAACTAAAGCAGTTTTTTTCTAAGGAATTGTGGATTGACAGATATATTTTTAAGTGTGCATTTTAAAAATATCCTAGGTTGTCTCATGTTTGTGGTTAGGATGTGAGGAAAAAGTGGTCTGACGAGGACAGTGGCTTAATTCTATCTGCACTGACACTAGCATAAATTAGGATCAGCACCACTGAAATGAATGGAGCCTTACTGGTATAACACTGATCAGAGGAGGATTGTCCTCATTACCATCTAATTATAAATTTCTGGTATGCTTGCTCTCAGCAGATCTTATATTAAATATAAATTCCCCCTTTACAGCCTTTGCTCTATTGCAATATGTGAGATGCTGAGTCTTGGCATTTTAAGGTTTTCCTAATATTCATGTCAGCTGGTTGTGTGGTATTTAAATACTTGCAGTTGCATGAAACTTGTGCAGCCTCAAACTGACTGATTTTTCAGGGAAAATTATTTCTAGCCTTCGCTTTTTCAGAACTAATAATAAATGATAAGAAAGACATTAAATGCCCAACAGGTAATAGAATTGTATTGATTGTGACCAAAACACTAATGATTATGCAGAAAATGTTCAAGCAAGTGTGGTCCAACTATCCTGTCCTTGTTCCTTATTTTACACTTAGGAAAACTTTTTTAATCTTTGCACTGATCTTTTGTAACAATTCAGTTCCCATAAGACATGATAATTTTAAAAAATCTGCTGTTCTTAATGAATCCAAAGCATGGGATGATTTCCAATACCCAAATAAGTATGTGCATTTGTGTACCAGTCAGATACCTGTCTCCATGTTGTAAAGCCATTCTATGTTCCTTCTAAGAAAGTATGAGTAACCAATGCAAATTTTTCAGAGGTCAGGCAAAATGTTTGACGTTCCAGGCTTTAGTATTCCAGTCATCCACAGGACAGCTAAATCTGCCATGCTGCTGTTACTGATAGAAAGCTAGATTTCTGAAAACAGGACACACATTGCATTGTCTAAGTAGTGAATCTCTGTCTGGAAAAAGTCTTTTATGTAAGAGGTAAGGATCTCAGTACTCAGATCGTAGTTTTTGCAGGTAGGATTTCATAGTTTCCAACTAGGTGTCTGTCACTCTTGTTCAAAGTAGCCAATGAGTGATCATAGTTTTTTCCTCACTGTGGTTTATTCTACAGGGCTCTCCTGCAGCTCCAGTTTTTTTTTTTCCAGCTGGATGGACCATTTTTCCCCTTTTTCCCCTGCTTTTTAAACTACTTTTGTTGGTTTTTAAATTTTTCTTCTTGCACCCAGTTTTACTCACAGGTTCTGATTCTTTCCCTAACATGGCCAAATGTAAGGATGCATCCCTTAAATTATTCCTCTTGATACTCTGTTTTGCATGCTTGCTTTGTGTGCTGCAGTGGGCATTCATATCTTCACCCTTTATGCAGAGTGAGCCAGATAGTCCAATTCTTAGTTACAGAAGCTGCAGTGAGGTTATGGTGTTTGTCTTCTATATAGTTGGTATGGGATTGATAAGCTTGAAAATATGGCAGTTTGATTGGTGCTGATGGCTAATTCTTTGGGTATTGATTGTTGGAGAATGAATTGTTGGAATACTGGACCTTTAAATTCTAGATTCTACTTTACCTCTGTTAAAGCTCTGTGGGGAAGTATTAAATATTAAGAAAGAGGCTTATTGACTTGATTCTTGATGCTGCTCTTCTTTGCTTATTTCTCAGAGGTATTTTTTCTTTAATCGGAGAGGATGAGATTGTTCCTTATCAGAGAAGTTTTACCACATTTCTTTCACATCTGATAAGGATGAAAGCAGCTACCTCAGGTTTAGGTCCAATATCTGGGAAGGCTGACAGATTTGCATCATGTTCTATTTGTTAGGACTGGCCCTAATGAGTTGCTCTTGGCTTCAAATTTAAGTTGTCATAAACAATTTAAGTTCCCTTGTTGATTTCCCCAACTTCTTAGTAGAATTTTCTTATGCCTGTCTCTTTGGCATGATAACTTGCAACAGGGATCACATAAAGAACTGTTATTCTAATACAGGCTGAATTTACTTGAATCCCAGCAACCTTCCTTTTTCTTACTACAGTTCGAAGAGGACAAAGTTAGTCCTTGAAAAAGGATCTTACAGTCTGAGCTGAGGTTTTGTTTGGTTTTTGTTTTTCAGAGGGACTCTGTGGGTAGGGAAGGGTATGGGAAATAATCACTGAGTAGTAATCACACTTATTTGTAGCTCACACGCATGCCTCATAGACAGTAGTTGAGTCCTTTTATCATTCTCAAGTGGTTGATCCTACATAAGGGAAATGAATTATTGAGTATTAGATTGCTCCCGTATTTTAAGTTTTTAGAAATATTTAGCATTTGGAGGCTAAACAAGAGTAACATCTGTTACTTTGGTAGTGCACTTGGCTCGCCCCCTTGGGACTGTGCACTCATTTCTCTAGCTTTTGGAAGTTATTTGATTAATGCAGACCTCCAGATGTCTTGTGACATGTCATCAAAGGTTGGACATCATAAGAAAACGTGTGTCCATACATACTGCATTCTGCAGTGAGTCCATGAATGGTGCTGCTCTAAAGAACAGTGTTAAGTGTGCTTGGGGGTTGGTAATTTGGGTTTCCCCATGAAGTTAACTTAATTTTTTCCTAACCGCTTCTTAAATGCCTTGTGTCTTTCTAGCTGTGGTTCTCCAATTCAAGTTTCAGAGGTAAAACTGCTCTCTTTTTCATCGGGACAGTTAACTGTGTTCCTGCCAGCAGAGGTGAAATCTATAGGGACAGAAACAGATCATGTGCTGCCTTTGCAAGAACTGGCTATGAGGACCCTCTATAACACTTACTACGTGTATTTAAAAGGTAAGAATCTTTGTGTTCGTCAGATTTTGGATGCCCTATCACTGAAGTGTTCAAGGAGCAGTTAGATGGGCCTTTCAGCAGCCTGTGGTGTCTCTACCCAGGGCAGTGGGGTTGAAACTAAATGATCTTCATGGTCTCTTCCAACCTAAGCCATTCTAGGATTACAGAAAGAGTGGAAGTGCATTTCTGGTAATGATAGTGACACTTGACGTGGCTTCTCAAAGAGCAGAACAAAGATGAATATTTTAAAAGATTTATTTAATCCAAGTCTCTTTGAAATGCTGTGTTACAAGAAAAAAAAAATAAAGGGATCCAAAGACTGTTTCTAAAGTTGAGTGACACTTAGAAATGGTTCCTTGAGGACTGTACTAAGAAGGATGCTTTTTGGAGAAGGAACTCTTTAATGGAAATAGGGAATGAGAAATACAGTTCCTAAGGCAAGATTAGATGCATCAGCCAACAGTGCAGCTTCTTGCCAGGCAGCACACTCCTAAACTGGCAGGCTTGTGGTACATAAGGCAAAAGAAACACAAGCAGCCGTTGGCCATTTCAGTACAGTGTGACAGCTGAGCTGTTTTAGTTCTGCCCCAGTTCAGGCTCTGCTGTAAACTGGCCCTTGGCTGATCTGGTTATGCATCATGCAGTCACGTGAGTTAGCAATATCAGAATATCTGCAGATTCAGATTTTGAGATTTGGATGTACTGTCTCGCCTGTTAATCTTGGGAGAAGGCAGAAGGGTGGAGAGTTAATGTGGGAATACTAAAGAGAAACAGGAAATGTCTGTGCTTTGTGGAGAATGCATTAACTGATCCAGAGAACAATTTAATTGATGAGTATAGGATTGTCTCTGTTCTGAATTTCTACATATGGAAGGGAGATTAGAGGTTTTTAGTTGTTTAGTGATTTCAGGGGTGCAGCTAAATATGTGACTGTTGCTAGGTAAGTGTGACAGAAATGAGTGGACTACTTTTCTGTAGTCTTTCCTTGACTAGGCTATGTTACTTTTTGTTTCTGATGCAAATGTACTGTTTATCATGCTGTCATCTTCTAGCCTGCTACTGTGTTCATTGCTGACATTTTAGTTAAGTGATACTGATGTTCTTCTCAGAATTTGCTACTGTTGTTAATTTCTAAACAGCTGTCTAGACCATCTTCATGTCCACAAATGCTTTATTGCATATTACTTGGTTTTGTTACTTGCTTGAGCTGTGGTATTTTTCAGCTGTATTTTTGGGACCCATTTCATGTTATGCCTATGGATGTTTGACTTGCACATTCAGCTTTTTGAACTTACACATGGAAAGCACCATATGCATTGCCTTAATTGATGTCACTTCCTTTATGTTGCTGTTCTTTCAGCGAAGTCTTAAGAAAACAACAGAGCTGGTTTTCTGAACTGTCCACGGATTGTACTTCTTATGTTGGACATTGTAATACAGTATTTTCTTACAAGTCTTTTTTATTTTTCTTCTTTTTTAGATTTGAATTTTCTTACTCCAATCTCACTACCAAAAAGCCTCTTGGAATTGTTGCACTGTCCCTTGGGACACTGTCACCGCTGTAGCCAGCCCATGTTTACCATTGTCTACCCAAAGCTCTTTCCCTTAAGGGAAACTCCAATGGCAGGATTGCATCAAGGGTAATTACACAGGAAATTACACTGGGGTTTCATTTAGATTGAAAAACCTTATGGAAAAATGTATCTCGTTTGTTTGTTTGTTTGTTTAGCAGCCTTTCAGATGTAAAGCCCCTGTCCAGCAATGGTTGGCAAATCTCTTTGGAAAATCGTTGGGAAACCAACTTACTACTGTTGGATTGTTTAATAAAGATTGCCTGTTTGATTCCCTCTAGATAGTGAAGATATGATGGGATTGATTTATTTGTGGTGATGCAACAACATGCATGTTGCCTTTGTGCCCTTGGAAGGAAATATGGCCTCATACCACTATTTAACTCTGCCCCCACTCAACAATGCCACCACCACGTGAAAGTGTCCCAGGACTAAAAACAGGGGAAAGCTCTAAAGCCAGCACTTAAATAAATATTCTACAGTAAAATAATCTTTTTTAAAAAAAAAATTCTGTGCAAATTATTTTAAGATACGCATTGGAAACTGCCTTGAAAAGGATGGCTTGGTCTAAAATGTTTGTTAAAAGTATCTTAGTTCATCATCAGAGCAGTTGTGAATGTATGTGCAGGATTTGCAAGTCAGGCAGACAAGCCCATGCACACTTCCTGCCTTGCTGGGCAGTAGTCATAGCAGAGACCGACCCCTGTGATTCAGAGTACTGCCCTCATGTAGATTAAGGTTTGAAGTGCTTTTAAGATGATAATACCTTAAAACTGATTGTTTTGCAGTGATTTTTAAGGCAGGTTGACTAATCTGTGTTCCACTACTCTGAGTTTAGTCTTAAATTTATCAATACCAAGCTCAAATGTAGCATTTCTCATGCTTTTTACTCATGGGCATTATTTTCCCTCTGTCCTACTCAACTGTGCCCTCTGCTCTTTTGGGAAGGATACGGCAGAGAAGAATTGTCTTGCTCTATAGCAGTGGTAGGTGCTTGAAACTTCACACAGTGTGCACCCAGCATTGTTAGATGTAAGCCTGTGGTAAAGATACCTTTACCACACCTCCTTGATCCTGAGTGCAGAGGCGCCACGCGGCAACATCTCCTTGTCTCCAAGACTCCAGGATAGGGCTACAAAGATTGGGTCCATGGGAGGAAATGCAGAATTCTGTCAGGATCTTAAAGCTCTACATTATGAACACTGCTTGTATTCATAGCTTGTGTAACTCAGACTAAACTACAGTACTGTTTGAAAACTAACTTAGTGTAAAGAAATGTTACTCAGTGGTAAACAAGCAAATAAGCTGTTCAGATTCTTTTAGAAAATCCATGTCAAATCATTGCTTAGACAACAACTACTTGTCCTGCTGAAATCCACTGAGTTGCTGCTTGTGTTCCATAAAAATAAGAAACTTCTTTTCAATAGAAATTTATTATATTTAAAAAAAAAAAAAAAGTTGTTTCAGGTCAATGGTGCCTGTTTCTCACAGCTACATCACAGTTTATTTTCTTGTGAGTTTGTGGCATAATAAATATCTGATTTGTCAGTGATTCAAGTATATGAAAAGAAAACGACTTAGGTATGCCAAATCTGAGCAGCAGCCAGAAGGCTGCATAGATGTTATTTTGGAAAAGCCATCTTTCTTAGAAAGATCCTCAGATTACAGAGATTGCATCCTGCATTCTGTTACAGAATGTTGAAATTCAATGGGTTTTATTTGCATTTAAATAAATTTCTTGCACGTGGCCATCTTTGTATTCAAAGTGACATGAGATGTTACGATAATGCTGTAATTTCTTTCTGTCATTCAGCTCCATTAGAACAGTGTCACTTTCTACAAAAGTGATAGTAATCTACTCGCTGATCACTGCTTCCTTTTATTACCTGAAATAACCCAATAATGGGAGAATAGACACCTCTGCTTTGTAATGAATTGTCTAGAGTTGCTCACTGTAGAACTTACTTAGGAAGCAGTAGGCACATTAGTAGGCACTGGGAGTTTTGGAATTATGAGTACGAAATTTGTGACTCAGCAAAAACATACTTTGTTTATTTTGGAAAAACAGTATTGACGTTCTAGAGTATGACTAGAAAATATTTCTGCATGGCTTTTACTTTTTTTAAAAAAAAAAGTTATGTTAATTACCTTGTGACAGTTCTCATTTTCTCCCTTAAGCATGAACATACTGTGTTCTACGAAAGGCATTAATAAGTAGAGTTTTGAGTAGCTGACATTTGAAGCAAAACCACAGAAAATGAGATCTAAGCAGGGTAGGCTGTCATCTCTGTAGCTTGTACATGACATGGAAAGATTATGTGGAAGTGCAGAGGTGTGATAGCTGGTTTAGTAAGATGTGAAGGACAGGGTTTTTGTTCTAAAGAGCTTACAGTGACCGTGAAAACACACAGGATAAGGATCCTGAACGTTTGAACAGCACTGATTAGCACATGCCACGTCCATGCCAGTATCTTCTGTCTGGATTTCTGTGTCGCGTTCTGTATCCTCTTACAGGAAGGGAAGGGATAGCTAAGTGTTGAACTGTATTTCTATCTCTAAAAAAGCACAGATGACGTTTAGCACTGGCTGGAGTGCGATTTCTGGGTTAGTGAAAATCAGATCTTAGCATTATTCAAGTGGACATCTAGGCCCCTGCCAGGAGAGGGGCAGGAGGAGGGTCACAGCGAGGCTGGTGTCACCCTTTCATGTCAACCCCTGCTGTCGCAGTGTGACAGCACTGCCTGTCCATCATCCTTGCTGAAGGTCTGGGCCCGCTTTGTTCTCTCAGCTGGATCCAAGGACACTGGACTTCAGTCATTTCATGCCTGCAAGCAGTAATTTAAGAAACACATGAGCGAAGCTGAACCAAAGAATTACCCAGCTATTTTCCTTTCAGCTGTTAAACCTACTGGCTATAACATGCAGCCACACCCTCTGCAGAAGGAAAAACCACATGCAGTTTCTTTAGACTGAGCACATAAGAAACCAGGAAGGTTTTTGAGAACCCCTGCAGTGTTTCCCTGCCTTTGTATTAGGCACTCAGATGTATCAAGCGATTCTTTTTCTAAAGTGTTGAGATCAACTAATCCTGTGCTTTACAAACCAACGTATTGTCTGCTGTGGAATGGGGCCAAAAGCTTAATCTTTATTGACAACTGTTCCCCCCCCTTCTTTTTTTTTTCCCCTAGGAGGACAACTGTTAGTTTTGTGGCATACTGCTGCTCCACCCAGTGTCTGCAGACTTTTGACCTACTGAGTTGATAAACATTTTAAACTACTCAGGAGTGCTGCCAGTTTAAAGCTGCATTAGACGTCGTATCCCGTTGGTACTGGAATACAGTGTGTGTGCCAAAGCAGCAGAAGTGCCCGGTCGGGAACATTAAGAGGCACTTAAATCCTGCCCTATCAAATTTGGATGAAGTGCAGAAACTTTTTCGGAAGTGTAAATACCAAGTTTTTAAGAGCATTAACTTCTCTCAGCAAAGATAGCATACCAGGCAAATTTTTGAGTTCTAAGTCCCTAGATTTGCAGTGTTTTTCAAACTGCTTTCGGGTGGATCCACTGTGTCTTCTGGGGCAGTTTTCATGCCTCTAACAGTGTCCAGCCGATCTATAATTTAAAAACTATATGCCTGAATGGTTTTTGTTTATTGTTCCCATCTTTTACATTCTACAGTTGTATCCAGGTGTGTAAATCTAAGACTGTACATGCTTTTGAAGGAACCCTGTGACTTTCACATAGAACTTGGTTTTATTTTTTCTCTCTCATCTCCATATTTTACCCCACAGAGTTATCCAAGTTTTATACTAAATCTTTAACAGGCAACCATGCTATTTAAATCCATGTATTTAAAGCAGATCTTTGCTTCTGGTATTACTGTGAGCCACACTTACTCCACTGGAGGAGCTAGGATATGTGTGGAGACTGAAGGTGCTGTTTGAGTAACAAAGGCCTATGCTGATATCTGCAGCAAGTGGTGTTGCTCTGGTGTTTGGTGACGTTGTCTTTATTTTCATCATTCTATGCTGTATTTTTAATAAAAACAGTTTCCCTTTTGCTGCGTTCTGAATTCTTCAGGAAGAAGATATTAAGTACAAATTTTACTTGGAAGAAATAGTAATATAAATATTTATCCCTATTTACTCTATTTTGACACTTGCAGCCAGTAGACCTGCACAGAGCTGGTCTTCATTTCTCAAGGTTTTGCATTTGATTTGTGAGAGCTTCTCTGAAGTGTGTTAACCTTAGGGGAGGCTAGAGAAGGGGAGGGAGGGAAGTACATTGTACCTGTGGGTGGGGATACATGCATACCTACAGACACAGCAAAAGAGCTGTGATAAAATTTTTAGTGTATTATGTTCATATTAATTTCAAAGGACAAAGAATGGGGAAAAAGGCCCCAAATGTCTGTGCAAACTAAGATTTTCTTTATGAACAAAGCAGTCTAAATAGTTTTCCCCTTTGGACTTGCTTTCACGTATGTAAATTGTTAATGTATTTATTAAAAAAAAGTTAGAAACTCTTTGTTGATCTAGCAGTGCTCCTGCTCCACTCTGTGCAGCAGATACACGCTGAAATAAATATGAATGAAAAAGTTATAAAAATGGCAAGATAAAGAAACTTACTTGGTAATGTATTAGCATATATTGTGATGAGGAGTGCATACTTTGGAGGGAGGAGGCACTGAAATGTTTTCTTTGTGCCAGAGAAGCATTTGTTCCTATTGCAGGTTTCCTGGCATCTCTTCTATAAACTGAGCATCTTGAGAGCACCAAAAAGACAGTTTTTGAGGGTGGAATTTTTAGGTTGTGCTTGCTACTTGTAAAAAGTATTGCTGGTTTTATTGGGATTTTTTTAGAGAGTTGAATTAGCATTAAGAAATGTAGAACTTAATCCTTCAGGAATGCAAGTATCATCTATTCTTTAAGAATTGTGAAACCACCTAAAATAAATCCTGTTTAATAAATTTTCTTTGCAGTAGGGGAAAGAGCCGTGTCCAAACAGACTTTGTTACAACTGGATTTCTTACTATGTCATTGGACGTATTTTGTTTCAATGCTGGTATCCCCAGAAGGCCTTCCCACCCAGTGGGTTTACCACTGAGGCAACAAAATTAATCTTCAGCTGTTTTTCCTTCAGAACTGCACATTTGAAATGTAAAGTGTCCACAAATGGTATCTACCTGTATCAGAAGGGTGCAGATGTAGTACAGAAGCCAGTATTTTAATGGTTGGACAACTACAGTAGTGGTACAAAGACAAGTTTTTGGTGCAATTGTGTAATTGGGAATTTTTGCTGTTATTTTTACTGTGTCATCTTTTGTAATTTTTGAAGGAGGTATTTGTTGGCAATTTGTTCTCTTTGTAGAAACTCGTGGGCTTTCAAACCAAGTATTTCTGAACTCAATCATAAATTAAATTTTATTTTAGAGTTAAATCTTTTGATCAACTGAAGAACATCATTGTTGGTTTGATTAGGAGTCAGGTGGTAAGACTAGAGCTTGATTTTCATTTTTTTTCTTCCCATAATCATTTTAAAATTTGTATCAGTCTATTATTGTCTGCAAGTGCAGTTCAGCAGAAGAAATTCCAGTCTGTTCTATAAGCAGGATGAATCTTAACTAACATTTTAATAGATGATATTTCAAGAATGGAATGTTCAATGAATAAATGACTTAAATATGCGATTGAAGCTGAAATGTCATATTCTATTTTTATGAAAAAAAGGAAGAGGAAAGCCAATATATAAACTGAAGATGCAGCTCAATTTCAAGTTTCTTTGATGTTTTTGATACAAACAGTGTTTGTATTCATCTGTATCTTTGGGTGATACTGTTCGAGATTAAAATAACTCCATTCTCACTAGTCCAAATTTTTCTGAAGTAGTTCTGTTGTGAGAGTACTTCAGCCAGTTAACAAGAGAGCCAGCTGTGCTCCAGGAGCTTGCTGCTGATTGAACTGCATCGCTGGATTTGCAGTATGAGGTCAAATACTTTTGTGGCTTCTCTTTAAGGTGTTTATTTCTTGGTAATTTTTGATTCTCTTGTTGGTCAGGTCAGCTCACGTCGAGATCGGTTTTTCCTTGCACTGCAAAAAATCTGGTTCCAGCAGTTAAAAGAAGACCCTTCTATAAAAGTCTTTTTTGTCATAAAAATAGGTCTGAAGTCTTATCTTACGGTGGGAGTAGGAGAAACTTGAATTTTCTAGACATAATAAGAATTGAGGTGCGAGAGAGGAAAGAAAGATAAAATTGTGTTACAAATTTTTTTGCTGTAAAATTTTTCTGAGGGACATTTAACTCCTGTCGTGACCAAAGAGCACGTGTTTAAGTTTTGTTCATTATATCGAGCTGTGTTAATGAAATCGAGACCCTGCAGGGTTGTGTTTAAAGATGTGACTTCTTGTTCTACCACAAAGAGAGAGAAGGAGTCTCTTGCTTTGTTGAAAAGTACTTCTTGAGCAGTTGTACACTGGCCACTGTTACATTTGAAGCATTTTTGGGAACCTTCCTGCTACTGCTCCCTTGAGGGGATCAGCGATATCAGTGTCCTTTCCTGAGCAAAGAGCAAGCTGTTAAATCAGCAAGTGAGCATTTTTCTGTTCCAGCCTGATGCTTCTCATCAGTTCTTACTGAAGTCCATCACAAACTTTCTGTTTATTTCATTGTGGTGATCTTGGGCTGAGCAGACTGGAGCTGCTTTTTTGCAAATGTTACACATCAAATTCTACTGAATTCCTTTTTCTGTTATGGAGGAGCCTTGTAATACCTGTGTGGTAACAGCATGTCAGGTTTTACTGACAGCGCAGCCGAGCTGAAGACTGGAGGGTGCCAAACCTTTCACTAGAGAGAGTGACTTTTCAGGCCATTGTGGCCTCATTGGAGTACTACTGATAACAGATGAACTTTTGCCTCAATGTCAGTGGAGGTTGGATCAAGCTCTAATTCATGAGAGAAAAGAAACTTTTACCATCTTTGTATTTCTTGCAAAAACTGGGACAGTGTCATTGAAGGCCATGCCTACTGCTAGGCAAGCTGCCTGCAGCTGAAATTCTGTAATTCCAAGGTGTGATTATCTTTGTCTTTTACCTCCCTCCTAATCTCGTATTGTTGCAAAATGTTACAATTAACTTGTGATGGAAGAGACTGAGTAAATTGAATCCAGAGCTTTTATTACTTTTTGTATTACCAACCAATTTTGGTGAAGCCTTCACTGTTTGTACTGTATGTCCGTTCTTTGGTTTTCAGCCTGAAGTTGGATTGCACCTGAGTTTATTCTGTGTCTGTTGAATGTGTATTGCCTTTTTGCTCTGTGTTCACCAAGTGTCAGTCAGTGTGAAGGTGAGCTTGGTAGATGTTTTATTTAAAGTTAGTGGTGCAATTTATTGTACGTGCTTGTTAATAAATTATATTTTTTTATAAAATTACAGTTCATTAAAGTTAACTAAACTATTGCTCCTGGGGCTATTAAGCTACGTTAGCATTTAATTTACATCACAGCTAATTTGCATAGTAATTAGGTAATAACCCTTCCCAAGGCTGGAGAAGTGGGGTGTGGACACTTCAAAAGACTAGCAAGCCTAAAGCACCACTTCAATTCACAAATCCCTTTGTCTCAGACAGTGTAGTTCACCAGATAATATGTGCAAAACCTGTTGGAGAACAGACTTTAGGCCCTTCTGTGGACTGATCAAAAGAGTGCAGCGCAATTGAAAGTTATCTTTGTGTCACCCTAATGGTCCATAGATGTGGACATGGTTCATGTATTATTATTCACTAAGCAGTGTTCAGCAGGTTTTTTCCCCTCTCTAGAACAAGGTTGGATGCCAGGAATAAGCAGAAATTAAGCATCTTTTTTTTTTTTTTTTTTTTTTTTCCAGTTAGATCATTCCTTGCTGTGTGTTATTTGGTTTCAGTCAAAGCTGCAGCTCTGTATCTGTTCGGATGATTTTTTTCACTTGGGTGTTCTCTGAATTGTTCTGGTGTCAGGTGTGTGCTAGGATATCCATTCTTAAATGAGACGCATCTGGTTCAGGGTGATGCTGAACATCTCTTAAAATTGATGTTTTGTAGGTTTGAGATGTAACCATGCTTGAAAGTTTACAATGATTTGCCTTCTTAGTACTTTACAAATGACAGAATGAGTTTTCCTACCCTTGTGATAGAGGTAGCCTCTATTTACCTGGCAGCAGGAGGATGATGCAAGTCTTCCTTAAGAGACATGGGGGAGAACAGCCTTAACCTATAACTTTTACCAACCACTGCTGTGTCCCTTGTGAATTAGAAAGAAACAAATGGGAGAGCTTAACATCCTTTTCCTTTGCAATTAAAAGTACTTGGCATAAATGCAAGCTAAGTGGAAACTTCAGTGGCTGAATAATGCTATTGTGTGCAGGAAATGAGAGGAGCTGTGGATCTTGCTTGGAAAGGCACTGGCTGTTTTGTCACTTTGAAGCCAAGATTTTGGGCTGTTCTGTGTGGTGACATTTTGGTAACTTATGAACCACAAAGTCTGTGTCCCACAGCTTCAGTGCTTGCTTAACGTTAAGGTACTGTCTTCTATTCTGCAGTGAAGAATCCAGCTAGTATTCTCTAGAGCTGGTTCAGGAGCCTGGCAGTGACCGTTTATAACTGTCAGATTTCTGCCTGCTACATCAGCAAGAGAGAGTGAGAGCTGACCAAATATGTTCTTGATCGCTTGAGGTTTTAAATATTAAAACTCTCATAGCATGCTTTTTGTGTAGCAGTTATGCTCTTCCTGCTTCCAGGCGAAAGACCTTTTCACTTCTGTGAGAGATCTTGAATCTCAACAATGAAAGCAGTTCTGTTGGAAGTGGTAAAGTGATTTAACTTCCTGATGATGCCTTCCAAGCAGCAACCAAGGGCTGATTTCTCAGGTACCTGATCTTTTGTATGTTCATGAGGATTGCCAACACTGACCAGCTCTTTCTGTCAAGGAAAGTTGTCAGTCATTGATGGCTGTTGTGTTACTAAATGCAACTACACCCATGGTACTACATCCACCACAGTCCCTTCAAGGTGTTCTGCTGTCATTTTCTTTGTTTCTCAGGAAGTTATATGTATAATCTTTTTCTTCAAATCAATTGAGAATGCTTTCTTGTAATGTGAAATGCCATACTGAGTTTGGTTATTGATCAGTACTCTGAATGTTCAGTAAATGCACTTTTAAGAGAGCAAGTCAGGCTGCTCTACTAAGAAAGCAGAAAAATGCTTTGTTAAATTCCATTTTGTTCAGTTAAGGTCCACTGCAAGGATGTCATTTGTTAAAGAGGCAGGGTACATAATTGTTGATAAATTGAAGATATGGTGTACAGATGTTGCTAATCTTGCATATATCCCATGAAAAATGTTTAAAAGATAATGAGTGTTCTTTCTGGAGTTGAGTATTTTTACGCTCCGCTTGTAGCTGTTCTGTTAATCTTCCTTCATGCTTTATAATTCTGATCATTTTGTTTTATTGTTAAAGCAATTAGAAGAATCAAGCTGAATGTACTTGGCCAGTTTCTGGTAACTGTGATTGCTTCTCTGGCACAGAAGGTTTGGAATGTTCTGAGTATAGGCTTAAATCTGGCTGCATTTGCCTCTGCACTGACTCTGTTGGCTCTCTAATTTCATTTTGCAAAAAGTCAGATCAATGCATGAAGAGAAGAAAAACGCTTTCTGAAGAACGCCTGGCTTGGAAGATGAGCGGCAACATCTCTTGTCTGAATTCTAGGTAAGTGCTCCTTTTAAAGTGGGATGAAAGGCAGGAGTTGTCCAGGAAAATTTATCAGGACTAATTGTCACTTTCTATATTCACGCCTTACTGCTCTGTTTCTTTGCAAAGATAGTAACTGCCACAAGGAGATGGCTTGTATCTGAAATCTCCAGTAGAATTATGGTCTAGAACTTAATCTGGTATTTCTACTGATGTGCTCATTACTCACACAAATTAATATCTGCTTTTGTTTTTCTTCCTGTAGAGTTGTGACTGTGCCCCTACTTTTCTCAGTGCTGCATTCTGTGGGCAGTATGCAAACCCTGGCTGTGATTCCAGGTACGCTGATACCATGTACCATACTGATATCTGTGTTCCCTGCAGAGTGACACGAGTTTGGAAAGTGTGTAATCACATATCTGTAAAAACTACTTGGATCACAAATGTGTATTTTCTTCTGACTGCAGATGAATAGAAGATATCTAACTTTTACATAAGTTAATGGATTCATTTTTATTAAATCAATGCTGCATATCAGACTTGTAGATCTAGCAGTATCTAATCCTGGCTCTGAAGCCTCCGCTATGAAACCTGGGGGCTCACATTTCTCCTGTAGCTCTATCTTAACTGCAGCCAGACTTCACTCTGATTCCTAGAAGCCTACTTGGCTGAAGGTTTGAATTGAAAAGCTTTTTTAAATTTTTTTTCTAATTTTTTTTTATTTTTTACTTTTCCCCAGAGGCAGATCAAATAGTGTAGGAGCTGATAACTGCTAGCTAGAAATTTCTTTCCAGGCCTGAGCCGTTGCCCCTCCCTCCCTGCCACGGCAAGAGGCGTGCTGCCTGACATCCCTGCCTGACTTGCTGCTCTGTGGCCCTGAGCTGCAAAGAAGAAAAATATTGATTCTGGTCCATCTCATTGAAGTATTATCGTGAGGTGTTCACAGACATGCTGGGACTGGTCCTTTACTCACAGGAACATTTATCCAGGGGGATCAGGTGTGTTATGTGGCAAGAAGCAGCAAGAGGGAAAATGAATTTACTGTTTTCATTTACAGTCAGTAGCCTGAGACCTTACTGTGGCTTTAGGTATTCCTGATTATTTTCATATGTGAATGCTCTTTTTTCAGAATAAAAGTGCTTTGTTATA